CTGGCTGTGCTTGGAGGAGTTTGGGGCTTTAGGAGGACATTGCCCAGGTGAACAGATGGACACCCCCCTCCTTCAAAATCTGCTTCTATATCCAGGGGAGCTGGGATATTTATAGCTCCAAAGCACTCTTATTCTCAGTCATTAAAGAGTGTGGGATTTTTAAATTTAGAAGCCTGTCATATAAATACAAATAATGACTTCTGCAGAGGCTGAATCTCATAATCAGCAAATGCAGGAAGAAAGTATATAATTTCATTTATATTTGTGGCTGATTAAGATATCAAAGATGTTGGTTTAAAAAAATTAATAATCTATCACTTTAGTCTATTGACATGACCTTGTGGGAAAAAGTCATATAAAACACAAATGGATAAAAGTTTCCTTCAAATACATAATTAGATGATTTTTTTGGCCACACTTTACATACTGGTTTAAAAGAAACATAATTTTCTTTTTTTCAGGTCCACAGGTATGGCAGGAAGGTTTCATCAGATATTTCTTCAGTGCGTTAAGGTTATGAAATTAAAAGGCAATAAAATATCCCCATATCCATGAATCTTCTGAAACCTTCTAGAGATATTATTTTAATAGCAATATTTCTTCCTTTTTTTTTTAAAGTTTAGGTTGCATGTGTCTTTCAAAGGAATATTAAGCTGGTATAGGACAATCCTAAGAAAATGAGTTATGACATTTTTAACTAGAACTTCATGAGCTTCGTAGGATTATATTAAAATGAATGCTCACAATTTCCAACACCCTTTTCTCACGAGCATCTAAACTTTTCTTACAGCTGCAAAAATCAACAGAGACTTAAAGAAAGGGATTCTAAAAAATTGAAATTTAACCCTTTGTTTCTCAGATCTGTATCTGTCAGCCTAACAACTGGGTATATTTTGTCCTTAGAGACAATGTGGCGACTTCTAGTTACCCATAGCATCTTCCCAAATATTATTTCCTAAGGTGACATAAGACTGGCTTTCAGAGATGCTGCAAAAGCAAACGTTGTAGGTATTTGTTTCTTAACATGAAGATACCAATCTCAGGCCCGTTGCACTCATCCTACAAAGCTTATCTGCTGAACAAGTATTGTAGGTGCAGAAAACCTTCTAAAGTCTTGGGTTGCTGTGATTCAGAATCCTTGTGACTATCCTGAGTCGGAAGGGACCCATCTCCCGTGTATTTAGTGCACGATAAAGACGAGTAGATTAACTCACTATTTTATATTTCACAAACGGGTTTAATCAATGCCATGAACTCCACACCCGCAGTGCATAAATGACCCCTGCAGCCGGATGGTGTCAGGCTGAGTTCTGCTGCCCACTGTTCCGCCTCCACTAGATGTCAGGCTGCTGACAGTGCTGGAGGAGTTTAATCCCTATGGCACAGCGAGGAGCACGGCCAGGATCACAGCTACAGTTCTCCACTTCCAGTCACCAGCAGTAACTCAAAATAGGAGATACCCTGAGTCACTATATTGGTTTTTCTTGTCCTTCACTCTTTTGAGCTCTAGTCTTCTCCCTTCAGCAAATTTCTCAGCATTGACAAGGTCCAGCACTGCTGATAAACGGGAGCAGGGCTGAGTAACATGGGATTCCCTAGGGGCATTTCCCTTTGCTCCTCCATTCCAAAGGGGCCAGGCTTGACACATCTATTAGGGAAGAATACATAACTCGTGAGTTCCTCGAAAATATTCAAGCACATGCCTTCTTACTCCCCGACAGCAACAAGGTGGTGAGGAGCTTAAATATCCCCATCTTCCTTGTGGGGATATTTATTTTTATTTTCTGGGAAGAACATATAATTTCAGAAAGTAATCCCATCTCTCAAATGGTATCTTTATAAAACCTCTCAAGGAAGAAGGCTGGACAGCAGGTGGATTAAATTTCCCAAGCAACAGAAGCAGGATAATATTTTCAGGCCTGTATGGAGAATTTTGGGGGATTTTGCTCACAGTGGCTGTTGCAGCCCAAAAAAGTAAGTGTCCCATGTGCAGCTCTGCAAATGTGATGCAGTTGCAGCAGGTTTTATGTGCATGGGGGGAGTGACTCCACACTGTGTGGAAAAGCAGTGAGTCTGCTCCAACTCCCTGTCCTGTGGCCCAGAGTGGCTCCAGGGATGCACAAAAGCCTGGTGAGCTCAGCAGAGAGTACAGGGGTGATTTATGCACACTGGCTTAATAGCAAGCTTTTGGATGCTCAGTTGTCTGGGCTGCTGAAGTCCAGAAAAAACTGTTGCTGCTATCAAAACACAGGAAAAGCCAAGATTTTCACGTGAGAGATGAGATCTGATTGTATTTGTATGGGAAATCCATATTATATGGTACAACTCTCAAATTTAGCACTGCTCATGGGAGTCTAGGACTTAAAATAACACTGGATAGTGAAAAGGGTCACAAGAGGAGACTAGTAAAGGCACACTGTCACCTTCACAGTCCTCCTTGAGACTCCTCCTTTCCCACAAAACCTTAAACAAGATGCTTGGAACTTATTTCAGATATCCTGTCTAGGCAGCATGATCCCTTTCCATAAGCCCACTGCTTGCTGCCACCTCCCCACATCCATCTTTTTTCCTTTAGTCCCATGATTGGTGTCCAGAGCAGCCTGCCTTGTGGAGAGGGATGTCCTTCCTGGCTTTGTGTATGGCCTGGACCATCCCTGTCCTTTCCTGCAGAAATTAAACTCTGGTAGCCAAATTTTTTTCCCTGTAGCAGTGTTAAACCATATATTAGTGTCAATCACAGAATCATGGAATGGTTTGGATTCCACGCCCCTGCCTTGGGCAGGGACACCTTCCACTGGCCCAGGCTGCATCCATAACAAAGGGGTGACACATACACACCCCAGCATCAAATGCAACTGCTCTTCTATGGCCCTCAGACACACGTGTAACATCTCATCTGAAGCCAAATAATCTCTCTGGAGTTGGCTTTGGACTGCAATAGCTATTCTTGGGTTTAAGACAGTCTGCAGTATCCATTTCATATGGATTCTTCATTGCTATTGAAAGCATCCAAAAACCTTAAAAGCTGGTTTGTGTTCCACCTCTGGTGGTTGAAAAGATGGTGCTACCTCCTCTCAGATCTGCTCTTCCTCATCCTAATCCAGGTGTTCAGAATTCCTGAAAAAGGGCTGTGTTTCGCCCAGTGTAAGCCTGAAGCTGAGGACTGGCATGAGGGTAGGGGCTCACGGCTCAACAACAAAGGCTAATCAAAAGCATTTTTCCAAGTGCATCAACCAATTTCACTGGATCATATTAAATACTATAACAAAAATAAAAGCATTTGGTCTACAGCTTCAAAGCTCTGTGGCCCAAGTCATACTTAATTTAACACAGACCCCAAATAAGAGTCGGAAAACTAATATTTGTGCCGGAAATAGAACATGCAGTGGGATTTGCTCTTTACTGTAAAGTAACTTTCTCCAGAGCCCAAATTTTATCTTTTGCTGGAAGTTGCCCCTAGTAAATGCCAATATATACGTTGTGATGATGAGTGGCCATCTCTTAGCATTTGAGATGGGAAGGATTCACAGCCTTTGACCTGCTTCGCTTCCTGCAGAGCCAGCATTTGCTCTGTCTTCCAGAGTCTCTGCTGGGATGGATCCTTTCTCTGTGTCCAGATTCAAACACCACTGCATCAAGAGTCTGGTCTACCTTTTAATTTGGTGGAGAATTCTTAAAAATAAATTCTGCATAATTTTATTTTCAGATGGAATAATTTGCTCTAGGTGGATTTTTCCCCTTCTTGCAGTCCTCTAAGTCTCTGCTAAGAAAAATAAATGTTATTTAGACTAAGCTCTTTGGGGGGAAAGCTGGATTTTTAAGTGATCTGCCTGTGTTCACAGAACTGGGCAGATCAGATGAGCTCGAGGTACAACACCTATGAGTAATAGTGTTTGGCCACAATTAAGTCTTTTTATCCCTGGGAAGCTTGAATTTTTTTTTCCCCCTTACATGTATATAAGTTAACTTTTCATACTCATGTTTAGAACAAGCTGAACTGTATTTTTGGAAAACAAATATTACACATTGAAAATGTAACTTTTTTGTTGTTGCTGCTGGTTAATGTTTTAACACTTAAAAAAAATTAATGTCATAGAATCACAAGAATGGATTGAGTGGGAAGAGAGCTTAAAGATCACAGAATTACAGAACAGGCCGAGTTGGAAGGGAGCCCGCAGCACCATCGAGCCCAGCTCCTCGTTTAGTCCCACCCATGGGCGGGGACACCTTTAGACAGTAAGCGAGATGTAATTAATCGCGTAATTTATGTATTTTTAGATGTGCCTCAGTGTTCGCTCAGAGGCCATTTTGCCGCCGGAACCGCGCGCACCACCTCCCGCCCGGCGGGGCGGCACCGCCGCCATCGGCCCTCCACGGCGGGGGCGGGGCGGGCCTCCGGCAGGGGCGGCATGGCAGCACCCGCAATGGGGGCCAAGTTGGCCGGAGCGAGCCCGGCACTTGGCAGGCGGGCGGCGCCGGGCCATGGCCGGGGGCCGGGCCGAGCATATTCAAGGGGCGGAGCGGGGCCGGGCCGTGCCGGAGGCGGAAGCGAGGCGGCCGGGCGACGAGCCTTGGCGATGGCGGCGGCCGGAGCGGTGTACGCTGTAGCTCGCCGCCCTGAAGAGCGTAGCGGGGCGCTGTCGGGCAGCTCCGGGAGGCGCGGGCAGTTAGCGGGGGGCGCGCCGGCGCCGCAGAGGGTCCCGCCCGGCCGGCCCGGCCCGGCCCGGCCCTGCGCGCAGCCGCGGAAAAGGGCGCTCGGCCCGTGGCCCCTCGCCGCGGAGCACCCGCAGCAGCCCGCTGCCCCCGGCCGGCCGAGCGCTCGCACGGCCTCTCCGACCGCCGCATCCTGTCTTGGGCGGGCGGGGCCGAACCGGGCCAGCTCCGTGCGATAGCCCAGCACGTGGTGCGGGCTGATGGGAAGGAAACTGCAGCGGACTGAGCGTTTTGCCATTTCAGAACAGTGCCCGTGTCTAAGAGCTCCCAGCTCACGGTTCTGCTCGATGGAGGAAACATTTCTGTGTGTTTGGGACGCCCGGGGGCTCCTCTGCCAGAAACACGTGTCCCGGGGTGCGTTCCCCACGGGGACGCGGTGCCCCAGCCACGGAGCAGTGTTCTGGCATGTCAGGGAGCGGCAGGAGCTGCACCACTTCCTGCGAGTTGGAAGGTTCAGGTTCCACGAATGTATTTTCTTATGTCCTGAAACAAAACCAAATTCCAAACCTTCTTTCTGGTGATGTAAGCTCCACTGTTTTCTTCATGGCTGAAGGCCAGCTCTGCTTTTGATCTTTGTTGTGCCACTTTGGTATTTCCCCCCCAGTATTGCACCACTGCAAAATGTAGTTACTCCCCCCGCCCCTCCATAACCCTCTGTGATGCTGTGGTGGGGTTTTTAATGTTTTAATGTAGGTGGAGAATGTGTGAGTGTGTTGCTCTTGGTCAACTCTGAGGCTGCAGAATGAAATACACACTCCCTGGGGATCTGCAATCTAATGTTGTAGTAATTTAGGGATATTAATTTGCACTGTTTTGTGTTTTCCAGCACGAGTGCTCTCCCTTCTGTGTAAGTTTCCTCCATGCCCTGACAGCCCTCAATGCTGGATGCACTGTGCTGGCAGTAAAATGTAGACAAACATAGCAGTGTCACTGTTGGAGCAAAAGGTCTTACAAGGGACTTAGAAAATGTGAACAGTGAGTAAAGACAAAGAGAGTGAGTTTTGTTCAGTCCAGGAAAGAAAACACGACAGCAGCAGAGGTGGGAGATGCTGTCTCCAGACATGTCAAAGGGATTATGGATAGGATGTGCATGGACATGGTGGAGTTGGCAGTGTTTGGTTAATGTTGGACTCGGTCTTAAGGGTCTTTTCCAACCTCAGTGATTCTGTGGTTTGATTTATGGATGTGATCACTTATGAAAGAGGAGGTAGAATTTCTAATTCTGTGTTTAGACATTTGAGTGAGCAGCAGAACACAGGTAATACTGTATAATATGCAAGTGTTTGATCAAGAAGGTCTTAAATTCTTCTTCAGGGAGAGTTTTCTGTGTGAGCATTTTATTTGATACTACTTTACATTTTATCTCATTTCACTTTCTTCTGTTTGATCTTGAGTACACAACAAGTCTCTTGAAGGTTCAGGGAGGCTACATCTGGATTTCCTTTCCAGAAGGATTGGATGAGCAAATTGATTGAACTTCCTTTAGCAATGCCATGAACTCAGGTGTGGCTCCTCTTCACCAGCAGGTGATATCAGAGATAGCAATGTGTGTCATGTGTTTAATTCATCTCCATTCAAGTTGATCATCCTTGTGGGTGCCTTCCAACTCAGGATGTTCATGATCTGTGATCTAATGTGGGACACCTGAACTGTGTTAATTAATTAGAGCATCTTCTCTTAAAGCAACATGCATAATAAACAAGGCAGCCCTGTGCACTGGGGAGACTTTTTCCTTTTCCATAAGATTCCAAAGATCTGCTGAAAAGTCATGGGGAAATACTAAGGGAACAAAACTCTCCTACAACCTCTTTTCTGAAAAGGCTGGTGGGAGGATTGTGTGATGTCTTTTGCTCCTACTTGAAAGACTTTGTATACTGTGCATAGTTAAAGATTGTTGCAGAAACATCTTTGGGTTTACAGTAGGAAGTGTCATTGCCAGAGGCTTTTGGGCAGCAGGGCATTTTTCCTCCTTTTCACTGCAAATTTATTTCTTTCAGAGAAGTGGCAGAAGAAAGTGTATTTCGAGACCTCCTGGAAATCCTGACCAGTGCCTCCTGTGCCATTGAGCAGAGCTGCAGGGACTCCTGTGGGCTGGCAGAGGTGGACACCTGCCTGCTGCTCGTGGCTGAGTGCTTCAGGTGCCTGAGGAATGCCTGTGTGCAGTGTGCCAGGAACCAGCACCTCCTGAGGTACAGTCAGCAGCTGGCTTAGCCCACGAAAAATTATCACCACCTGATGTTTGTGTGCTTTCATACAGAGATTATTGTTTTACTCTACTGTGTTGGTTGATTTATTAACTGGCATTTTCTGATTGATGCAGTCACTTGAAATCAAATATACAAGAAACAAAAACAGCTGAGCTATTTGTAGGTCAGAGTTTGGGGCTCTGCTGAATAATGGAACAACCGTCTGGGTCCTTAATACAAGTTGATGATGCAAATGCTATAAGCCTGTTGGAAACCTGACTGTATAAATACCCATTTTTTTCTCTTTCTTCAATTTTTTGGATAACATAATGAATGAGTAAATAGTCATAATTATCAGTTACAGAAGTAGTATGTCTTTTAAGGTACATTTAGATCTGTCTGGCCCTCATGGCAAAGGAAAGCGTGTAGAACTTGTGCATATTAACCCTGATACATGCCCAGGCAAACTGATATTAATGGAGGAAAAGTCAATCTGGCTCCTTAAGTTATTTAGCCTCTCTTATTTTTGCCTGTGTCTCTTGCAGCATTGAAGGGATGCTTGGGACACAACGAGCTGTAGTAAGTGAAAACCTGGTAGTCTGGCTGCTGTTTTTTAAAAACCCAACAAAACAGCAACACTCTCCCTGCCCCAATCCTGCCCAAGAACCTCAAACCAACTGACCAAAAAAAAAAAAAAAACCCAAAGGCCTGTTACAAGTTTCTTGTGGGTCACAAAGACTTACTGTGGAGTACACTCTGCAAATTTGGCCTATTGGGACTTGTCACATTTGATTTATTGAACTAAATGTCATTTTGCCCTGGGACCAAGTCGTAGCTTCTGTGCTGGGGCAGAGTTTTGTTAATGCCACAAAAGCTGCAACTCAGACCATTCTGAGATGGCACCTATGATTTTCCTCCTCACTGGAGGAAGGATAAATGGTTACTTGACCTTCTCTGCTTCCCTCTGAGAGTTGTGTAAGGTTCCCTTGGAGCTGGCCCCCTTGGTTTTTGATGGTGTCACAAACTGCTTTGTTGGCATTGAAAATCCTCCAAGTTTATTACAGAGTAATGGACGTGACTCTTTCCCTGGATGCTTTTACACAAGTAAAGCTGTTCAAATTACAGGAATAATTTGCTAACTTTTAACATCCGATTAGAAGAATAGCAAAAAGAGAGGAAAGGGTACTTAGCTCTGAAGGTACTGTGTCCAGAATTGTTAGAATGCAGGCTGATGCTGTAAGCCCCTTTGATTTGCTTCTGATGGCAATAATGTGGCTGCTGATAGGCAGTAAAGTAGGAGAAACTGGTTTTTATTTTGGAGATCCTGAAGAGGCTAAAGGTTTGCTGTTAACTTTGGTGAAAAGCCTTTTAATTTTATTCAAGTGTATTTTATATCAAGCAAATTATTATTTTTTTTCCTCAATTTAATAATAGGAACTTGGGTCTCATCTCCACATCTGTCCATTTGATCAAATTACTTCATGGAATGCAAGTCAAAGAAGAATTGTTATTGCCTGGTAAGGCCTGGGATTTTTTTAAAGGTATAGCCTGCACTGTATTTTTTTGTGTGGGAGGTGCAATGTCCCTTTACTGCTGTGTTTGTTTGATAAAGGTGAATTGTTTCTTTAGTTGTAGTTAAGAATCAGGGGGGAGTCTCTCTTACATTGCTTGAAAAAAAATCTTGGCCTCATGTCTAGTCCAGTTGTATTTTTCATGAACTGTTCCCTATAGATTGTTAAAGATATGTGGAAACTCTGAAATGAACCAGGATATCTGGATTGCAAAAATGAAAAGCTCCTGTAGTACCTCCCTTCAAAACATGTTCTACCATTTTACTGTCTTTTATTCCATGTGCAAATATTTTTTTTTTGATGATACTTGAAATAACTTGTCTGATTCCAGGAAGCAGATTGCAGCTGTGACTTTTTAAAAATGATTTTTAGATTTTCCTTTGTGCACGGTGCTTGCTGGCCAGTCAGGATGATACCTGCCAAGAATTAGGTGCTGATCTGAGTAGTGTTCATGTTTCCTTAGTGGGTCAATTTTTTTCTTTCTATGCAGTGAAGGGAAAATGTGACTCCAGAGCCCTTCCTCCCTAGTGGTAGTTATTGCTACTGATTTCTCCCAAACTCATTTCACTGGATTAAGGCATTTTCAGAGAGTGATGAGGAACATCTGGTTTGTCTCTCTACTTTCATTTCTTTTCATTCCCATTCCTTGGATGAGGTTTTCCCTGGCTTTTGTATCATTGTGTGGAAGCAAGTGGAACAACTGTCCTAAGTCCCTGCCCCTCAAACACCTTTGTGAAGCTGGGGGGAGCAGCGAGGTCCAGAACACTGGGCTTTCTTTTGCTGCTCAGTTTGGCTCAAAGCCAAGCCTTGGAGGCACCTGAGGGTTTGTGCTTAAGCCAAGGTCACTCCTGCACCCATTGCTGCCAGGGAAGGAGCAGTGGTGCCAGCATGGCCCTTCAGGGTGGGAGGGCCAGAACTGTAAGCTCTGTGGGTGACAAAAAGAGGGCTTGCTCGGGGGCCAAGAAGGGAGGAACTGATGGCACCCAGGGGTGACTTTGAAGCCTTGTCACAGGGAGGACTGGGAACCCCTCTATAGACCAGTGAGATAAAAGGAAAAGTGTTGGGAGCTGAAATGCTGCTTTTGTCCAGCCTGACACTGTCCCTGCCGGGGCCTTGGACAGCAGAGGGTTCCCAAAGCTGTCCTGGGGAGGTGGGCTCGGAGGGGCTGCCCAGCAGCTGCAGGAGAGGGAGGAGGATGTGCCCCTTGTTGGGTACAGACGTGGCCTGAGGTTTCCCCCATAGTCTCATTGCTGCTGTCCCTTCCTTTGTCCCCTCCTTGCTGGACTGTCACACATGTGTGCTGGTCTCTGCTCTGGGGGCTGAAGAACCAGCAGGGAATCTTGCTGAGGGAAAAAAAAAGGAGGGATGGAACCCAGTAATTTGGTTATCTGCTTCAGGTTCCTTTTCCTAACCACAGGCTGGGGCACCATCTGTTTGTCACCATGAACAGAAGGGTGGCATTGACCAGACAGTTTCTAACAGTGTTTCAGTCAGAGTTGTTCTGGGACTGTTACTCGATGTAGCCATTCAGCAAACACATTAGAGTTGGAACTAAAGTTTGCTGTATTGCCCCAGGATAGGTGGCTCATGTGATACTGTTGGGGAACTCAGTGAAGAGCATGGCTTATGTATTCCCTGTGTCTCAGCACAGCAGCACAAAAATTCTAGACAAGCAAGTGTTGCTAATTCCTTGCTGAGTGATCTGATGAACTTTGTTCTAAGTGGAAATGAAGCTGGTGCCTGGAGCAGCAGCTCCTGCTGCAGGGGGTACCTGGGAAGGGAACAGTTCAATTTGACTGTGGATTATTAGTCGTGGTGTCAGAAGCGAAGCAAATCACTCAATTGGGCTTGGATAGCACTGCTGAAACAAAAGAAACCCATGAAATCAGTAAATGGTACTGGGTTTATTAACTGTAATTCTGCTTCGTGATTCCCCTCGTGTTTCATGCAGGGAATCAGGTCATGGGGCTGGAGTAGCATGTGTATCTTGTTCTAGCAGATAATTAGGTGTAAAGTGGAATATTTCAAGGTGTTCACTTGGATATGTGTCCTGTTTCCTCCCTCAGATGGCTGCTTGGACTGGGTGATCCCTCTTGGTGCCTGTTTATGTCCTTAGGTTTTTTAAAGTACCTTCATGTTGCTTCCACAGCAACAAAATAAAAGAAAGAGGCAATGCTGTATTGCAGAGTGAACAGCACTAAACAGTGTTTCAGACCTTGTTCCTGTGAAAAATTCCCGGAGCAAATCATTGTAGGCTGAGTAAATTTGAGGTTCCAGCATTATTGTATTTATGAAGATGAGATTGAAAATTCTTCCTGCAGACTGAAAAATTGGTTTAACCTGATCTGTGGTATGTTTGCACTCTTATCCACTGGTAAGTCTGAGTGGTGGGGTAATTTTTGTAGGAAAGTTCAGTGTAGTACAATTTGAAATGGGTAAAACCTGAAATGAAATAAAGTATATATTCTGTGGCCACTACTGTGACCAGTGTGGTGGTTCTAAGGGAGAGGATGTGATCAAAGCAGCCAAAAAGGAGGTGTTGTGCTAAGTAGCATGACTAAAAACTGTTGCTAATAGTTATTCAATTAAATCCAGAATCCTTTGCATCTTCTCTGCTAGGAGAAATACTTTTAAAATAGTGTATCTTAGGCCTAGGTGTTATATACATGGTTAATTGGGCTGCTCACTTCAGTATATTTACTGAAACAACCCTACTGTGAGTTTTCAGCATATATCTTTCTTTTTTCTTTTTAATGGTACCAAAAAAAAAATCCTGTGTGCTTGTAATGTACTTGTCCCAGCCAATGAACAAAGCTTTTGTTTTGAGTGCAGGATAAGGCAGTGGGCCAGAAAACTTGAAGGTGAGTTGAAATGCCTGTCCTGAAATAGCTTTTTAAGGCTTCAGATAGGTTTAAAAATAAATAGTTAATTCTTACATATGGCATATAAGGGTTGTCCAATCCCACCTGCAAGCCAGCTGTCCCTGTAATAATATTCTCCTTTCTTTTCCATACTTACATTAAAAAAAAAAAAACCAGCATTTTTAGGCCTTTCCTGTGAGGTGTTGCTGCAGTTAGCTGTTTGTCCCCACTCTTTCTCCCAGCTTACTTCCCAGTTAGTCTGAGTTGCATTCCACAGCCTCGTGTCTCTTCTCAGAATTGCTTACAGTACATAGCAGGAATCTGTCTGGAGCAAGTTTTTTACTACTTGGAGGAGGGACCCTGCTCTAAGGAGTTGCACAGTGAAGCCAACAGCTAGATGAGTGTGCAGAGAGTTCAGAGAATCATGGAATGGTTAGGGTTGGAACAGCCCTCCCAGCCCATGGATCCCCCTGTGCCCCATCCCCACCTTGTCCCCAGCCCAGAGCACTGAGTGCCACGGCCAGGCCTTCCTGGGACACCTCCAGGGCTGGGCACTCCAAACCTCCCTGGGCAGCCCCTGCCAAGGCCTGACCACCCTTTCCAGGAGGAAATTCCTCCTGATGTCCAACCTGATCTCACCTGGCACAGCCTGAGGCTGTTTCCTCTCATCTTGTCCCCTTTTCCCTGGGAGCAGAGGTACTCAATTTTTTACTTTAAGTTGTAGGGAAAAATTGAACTCTCTGCAGAATATAGATTTAGTGGAATTTTCACATTAATTCTTTTAATAAAAAAAAGAAAAGTCTCATTGTAACAACCTTTTTTTTTTTTCCTGCTCTGGGTACAAAAGCAAAAAGCACTTGCCAGAGGAGCAGCTGATGAAGCTGCCAGATGAACTTTATCTGAACTTAAAGCAGACCCACATCTCTTAAGAGCTAAGAAGTAGTTCAGTATGTTTGGGATTGCAGCAGACATAGGAAATATCCTTGTCAGAAGCCCAAGTAGAAAATCTCCTTCACTTCATTGCATGTGTCTCGTGGGGTTAGGTTTGTTTCTTTTTTTCCTTTTTGCTAGGGCAAATCCTAAGCTTTCCAGCAGAACTTTGGGAAGGTACACTGAGGTTTGTCAAGATGATGGATCTTTAAATTCTAGAGTGAGAGAACTGGATTTAGGATTCATCTCTGAAATCTGGAAAAAAAAAAGATAGTTGCAAGCAAAGGCATATGTGTTTTGCAGCAAGCTTACATTCTATAGGCATGTCCCATTTGATCCTCTCATTTATTCCCACTCCAGCTTGGACAGGAGGAGCTTTAATCTTTTTGTTTGTAAATAGATCTTCTCAAACCTTTCACCACCTCAAAATACTGCCGATGCTGAGGAATGTGCCTTGAATTCCAACGTAATTGCTTAAAAAACGATTCATCTGCCAAAATACTTTCCTGCCCTCCCGTATGAAAAGGCACTGAGTGCCTGATGGCTGCCCTGCCTGAGACAATTTGTTGTGCAAGTTCTCTGAATGAGGTGATTGTCCTCTCTGAGCAGAACTGAGCTCTCAGTGTGTGCCTGGGAGGTGCTCTGAGTGTGGCTCCAGCATTCCAAACTTCCAGGCTCCTGGGGATGCAGAGCTTGTGTTAAATCAGGTAGCACAGGTGTTGGTGTTATTGTGCTGTGCTGATGCCGTGGCCCTGAAGTTTTTGGGAGTTTTAAGCAATCAGGGTAAGCTGCCTCAAAATGTGTTATAATGGGGGAATCCCATGTGTTCATGGCACGGGCACTGCTGGGGATCTCAGCCAAAACCCGTGCCCAGGTGTGCTGGCAGTTAGAGCAAGGTTTGGGGTGTTCACTGCTCTGAATGCTACAAAGCCCAGGAACTTTGGCTAAATTGTAGTGGATAATAAGCTGGAATCCTTAAGCAGGAATTTGACTTGGCTTCCAATGTTCTGCAAAGTGTTCAGGTGTAGTTAAACAGCTACAGATAGTCTCTTCAGAACAGAACTTAAAGCATTCCTTTAAAAGCAGTGCTGAAAGATGACCCCGTGTAAATTTTTTAATACTGTGCTTATTATAGTAACTTGAGCATTTTCTGGT